TGCAAACAGACCCCTGTAGTATCACCTAATTGTAAATAGAGCTCCTATAGTTTTATTTGTTGTGAATGGACCCTCGGTAGTATTGGCTCAACTGTGAACATGCCCCTTTGATAAACTTTTTCAACTCTTTTACAAGTCAAAAAAGAAACTAGCAATTGGATGTCTATCCTCATTCCTCATCAATAGAACTTTAAGGGGTCTATCCACCTCAAATATTTTTAACAATTTTAAGAGTAAAAAAATTTCACTGGGGTCTATTCACACCAAGTAGAACTACAAGGGTCTATTCACAATAAATAGAACTATATAGAGTCTCTTTGAAATTCGGTGATACTGCAGGACGCTTCATTGTCATCCCGCATTGCAAGGCGCATTGTAGTTTATTTTTCCATAACCACAAACTACAGATTATAATCTTTTTAAAGACTTGACAAATTAGCAATACACTATAAATTATATCATTTAACTTATTTCAAGCCATAATAAGAAGAGATGAAGCAATTTTACTATCATGTTGATAAAATAATTGCAAAAGTTTGTGAACATAAAAAATCCATTTCACTTATTTAATTCTTAATTTAGAACTTTATAAAATAAGACCACATGAAAATATAAATGTATTTCATGATATTAAATGCAAACTTCATGGAAATTGAAACACCATTTCCCTATTCTTCTTGAAAAGCAAAGAGAATTATATGAAAATATGATGTGTGTGTATATATTTCAAAATACTTTGAAGATTTGAGGGACAAATTTCAAAATATGAAGAGTTATGGGACTAATTTCAAATATGCAAGATTTGGGAGAGTAATTTTAAATATGGAAGATTTGATGTACTAATATGGAAAGAAACCCGTCATTGAACATAGTAAAAGATTGAAAATGTTAAGATGGGCACATGATATTAAAAAGATGATCAAAGTATATAAAAGCGGGTTTAGGAATTAAACCAATTGAGAGAGATGGCAAAAGTTAACGTATTCAACAAGGAGGTATCCTCGCATTTTAAAAAAGGAATAGGAAAAAAAGAATTTACATGGATAGAATTAATTAAATCTGATTTTCAAAATATCTAAATGAAAATTTATGACTGAGGGCATCAAACTCAACCATGATATCTCTCACATAGGTCAATTGCCTCGCATATCTGTGTTCTTGTTGTTTAGAACTTTAGATCTCAAGCAGTCTTTTGTGATGCTTTAGGTTTTTGATGGAAATGCATGTCGAAGGATATCAAACTCGACCGTGGAAATCCCTAACATAGGTTTACTATCTCGCATATGCATGTGTACTTTTGTGCAAGTGCAATTTTATGTATGTGTATCAGTGTATGTACATATATGTACCTGCATGCCTCTTCACATGCATGAGTGCATGCTTATGCATGTACATATGAGTGTGAGTACATGTATATGTATTGTGTTGCATTGTCATGTTAGTAGACTGAACCATAAACAAGCTACACAACATTGCTTTGATATTTTCATAACAACTAACAACTTCCTATTGCTTGTTGGTAGGCTGCAAAAGAAGAAACCAAACAGGCAACAATGTCCTCGGCCATGAAAGGTACAAATAGAACTTAAGCTTATGTAGATGTCCCATTTAAGTGGTCATAAAATGTAATATTATTTTAATGTAAGTAGGTTAACAGAAGAACATTTAAATGGATTTCTTCTTTTGTTTCAGCAATTAAGCAACGGATGGAGCAGGATATCGAGGAAGTTTCAAAAATCGCTCTTAAAATTAAAGCAAGCCTCGAAGCACTTGACAGGGATGTATGTCCACCACCAAATAAAATTCATTCATCATTATATGTGCTATTAAAATATGTCAGTATTCTCATACTAGCTATTTTTTTTGTCTACAGAATATTGCCAACAGGAAGAAACCAGGATGTGAGAAAGGGACGGGTGTTGATAGGTCTAGAGCATTAATGACTGCGTAAGTAAGTTACTACTTGACTGCATAACTAGGTTACTACTGCCCATTTAAATTGTCACATAAAGTTCATGTTTAGAGTCTTGCTCTAGTCTATAGCAGATGTGATAATGTGTTAGATTGAATCATTAGTCATGATCAGCCTCAACATCACTATCTCACCATTTTCGCATCGAAAGGGAGTAAGTTATAGGGCATAACCCAAAGTTAAAGAAAGCTTCACAAAAACATTAACGCAGCGCAAATGTAATAAACCTCGGAATCCACTAACTGGGTTGTTCTTTGAATCCACAAAGAATGATCTTGAAATCCATGAAGAACTTCGAATCCAAGTAGAAAATATGATAAATAGGAAAGTTTATTGATGAAAAGTTATGGCTCTAGAGCTTACAATCATCTGTTTAAATAGAAAATAAACAAGACTCCTACTAAGACCAGAACTTATCAAAAATAGAAATAACAAAACTCTTTCTAAAAAAACTCCCTATGATTGAGGAAAAAAATTGGTCAAATTTGAAATCAAATTGGATTTGTTTCCTAATCAAAACCTCTTAAAACATTACCTAAAATAGTAAAAAAATTACAATATCTCTTATATCTCTCAATCCGGATGGAATTTCGTAAAATGGACGGTAGCAAACCGAACATCAATATGTTCGGTTGACTCCGTCTCGAAAAAATACACGATTTTCATATATAATTTGTTTAATTCGATGTACGGTTTGGAAGATATGACTCGTTCTTCGTTGCAAGTCATTTTCCTCTTTCAGATCCGCTTTTGGGCTTCTGACGGTCCGGATTCTCTATGAATATTTCCACAATATGTTCGACATCAATCTCCCCTTCTTGAAAAGAGCTCAATCCCGAGCTTATAATTCACATGAAAAGTTGAGCCTTCTAGTGAGTAATACTCAAACAAATCTGCAACATTGAAACCAAAAGAAATGGTCAAATCTTCAGGAACGTCAACGACATAACCATTATCGCTAATCTTCTTCAATATTTTGTATGGACCAAACTTTTTATTCTTCAGCTTGTTGTATGTTCCCACTGAAAAGTGCTCTTTTCATAGAAACACCATCACCATATCTCCTTCCTCAAATACTTTCTTCACCATGTGTTGATTAGCATTCACTATATATTTAGCATTAAACTTCTCTATTTGCTCTTTCACTTCCTATTGAATAGCTCGTATCCTTTCATCCATATGATCTGCAACAACACTCTGACCCGAGAGCTTAGGTAGTGGAACTAGATCAAGATAATGGTTCGAAGGCCTCCTCACAAAGGGAACCTGTCTGTAGTTCAACCCTCTATATAGTTATAAACAAACTCAGTATGCACCAAACCAAGATCCCACTGTTTTGGATGATCGTCAGAAATGGATCTGAGAAGGTTATCAAGAGTGCGATCAACCACTTCAGTTTGGCGGTTTGTTTGAGGGTGGTAAGTAGTACTGAATTTCAGTGAAGTATTAAATTGTTGCTACAATGTCCTCCAAAAGTGACGTAAGAACTTGGAGTCACGATCAAAGATGATAGACTTTAACACTTTATGAAGGTGTACCATCTCCTAAAAGAAAAGGTTGGTAATGTTACTAGTATCTGCTGTCTTCTTATATGGAATAAAGTATGCCATCTTTGAAAATCTGTCAACCACAATAACAATAGAATCCATACCTCATTGAGTTCTAGAGAGATACAATACAAAGTCCATTGAGATATCATGCCACGACATATCAGGAACAGGTAAAGGTGTATATAGTCTGGTATTTTGGGCTTATCCCGTGGTAACTTAACAAACTAGACAACACCGCACGTATTTTTCTGTCTTCTTCGTCAGCTGAGTCCAGTAGTATCTCTTAATGAAAGCAATTGTCTTATCACGCTCCAGATGTCCTCCTAACCCGCCACCATGAAGGTCTCGTATGATCTGCTCTCTTAGTGAACTTTGCGCTATACATATCTAATCTCCATGAAACAAATAACTATCCTGGATATAAAAACTTCTTGCTGACTAATTCTTCAGATAGTTGTTCCGAGCCTCCTTGAAGTCTTCATTATTTGTATAGAGTTCCTTTAGGTGTTTAAATCCAATCACTTATGCCTACAAAGTTACCAACAAAGCAGCCGTCCGACTGAATGCATTTGCAACCTTATTCTACAAAGTTACCAACAAAGTATTAAATTATTACTACAACCTTATTCTACTGCATCACAATTAACCTCGAACATCTTTTTAAAGTCTGGGAAGTGTGAGCACGGGTGGTGTGGACAACTTCTCCTTGATTAGTGCAAAGCTACAATCTGCATCTCCCCCCAATTAAATATGTATTTTTCATGCACTCGGTGATAGGCGTAACGATGCTACTAAAATTTCTGACAAATCTCCTATAGAAGGTCGCTAGACCATAAAAACTATGAACTTCGCTAATAGTATTCAGCTTGAGCCAATCTCGAATAGCGTGCACTTTTTTCATCAACATGGATGTCCTCTGCACTGACTATAAAGCCTCATGAAGTTGTACTTCTTCAGATTGATGTACAGATTGTTCTCCTGCAAAGTTGTTAGTGCCTCCTTCAAGTTATCTAGATGCATGGACTCATTTTGGCTATAAATCAAAATATCATCGAAATAAATTATAACGAATTTACCGATAAAGGGTTTTAATATTTGATTCATCAACCGCATGAAAATTGTCCACATATAGGCCAAAAGGCATGACCAACTATTCATATAGGCCGTTTTTTTATCTTGAAAGCAGTTTTCCACTCATATTCTTCTCTAATGCGAATATCATGATAACCACTCTTGAGATTAATTCTGGAGAATACTTTTTGATCCTGATAATATATCCAGCATGTCTTCTAGGTGATGGATAGGAAACCGATATTTCACCGTAATCTTATTGATAGCGCTATTATCCATACACATGCACCACTCTCTGTTCTTTTTTGGGACCATAAATGCGGCTACAATACACGGACTCATGCTAGCTTATATAAAGCCTTTTTGGATGAGATTGTCTACTTGTTTATGCAAGATCTCCCCTTCCTTCAGGCTTATCTGATAGTATGTTAGAATTGGTAAGCGTGACCTAGGGATGAAGTTGATTTGATGTTGGACGTCTCGAAGCATCGGTAACTCAGTAAGTTCTTCAGATATAACCGTATCAAACTGTTGTAAGAGGGTTTGTACTTTAGGTGATTTTTAGTGGGGGCAGAATCCTCTTTTTTGGATATGACAAGATCATAAATCTCTTTAGATCGTTTTAAATATTTTATAAAATCTTTATTATCAACAATAAAAAAGATATTCTTTTCAGCACTATTTGTCTTGGCCGGCCCCTTCTCTGTAAGAGACACGAGCACAACTCGATGTCTATATAAACATTGTCTTTCCCCCTGTACATGGCATTAACATCAAATTTTCATGGCCTGCCTTGTAGCATATGACAAGCATCCATCTCAACCATATCACACCACATCATCAACATAATTACAACCAATGGAAAAAGGCACTCGACACACCTTTTCGACCTGCACGTCATTACCCTTACGAATCCAACCGATCTTGTAGGAAGCGGGGTATTTATGTCTTCAAGCCTAATTTCTCCATCATACGCTGAGTGATAATATTCTCACTGATGGTGTTATCAGTGATAACATTACAAGTATTTTGTCTCACGGTGCACCTCGTGCAGAAGATATTATATCTTTGAGACGGTTCTTCTGTCTTTAGAGTTGGTAACATTCGCCGCACTATACATGAAAGTTGGTCCCCATCATCAAGATACTCAACCTCCTCGTTTCCATAGTCTTCAATGTCATCTTGATCTGCATCCTCCTCAGCATGGTCCACCACATTCGTAGTATTTCTTTTAGAGCACTGATTGGTTCGATGACCAAGTTGACCGCATCTATAGTACTTGATTGGATTTGATTTGGCATATGGATTCGCTGGTGTAGCCTTATTTTCTAGTGTAGCTTTCTTTACAATTGCTGTTGTCTATCATGTACCCTTCTTAGCTGTAGAATCTTGATCAGGGATAAAATGGGATTGCTTGTTTCCGCCACGATTATAATTCATGCGCGAACCCTTTGAAGCTGCCCATAATCCTCGATTGTTTTGTGCAAGTTGTCACTCCACCTTTTCGGATAGACTAACTGTGTCTGCCAAATATGTCTGTTGTAAAGACACCTTCTTTTCAGTTTTCCCCTTGAATCTTTTTAATTTTCACATTCTTTTCAGTTTTCCCCTTGAATCTTTTTAATTTTCCCCTTCTTTTTAGTTTTGCCCTGTCAAATAAAATTAGTTTCAAGTTAGTAATTGAATTATAAATTTGAAATGCAACAAATTTAAATGCTAATGCATAGGAGAGAGTGAGATACTTAACAGTTGACACTCCTTAATGTCTGTTCCCTCCCTTAGGGATGGCAAATGGATGGTTTTGGTTGGGTCATAAATGGGTGGGTACATTTATGACCACTTAACCATTTATGACCCATTTAGCACAAATGCAACAAATTTAAATGCTAATGCATAGGAGAGAGTGAGATACTTAACAGTTGACACTCCTTAATGTTAGCTCCCTCTCTTGAATTCGTACCAAGTTGTTGCTGAAATTAAATTGAAATTAGAAACTCCCAAGCAATTGAGAAGCGAAATCATCACCATTTGTACGCTTTCTAAGCAATTGATTACTTTTTAGTGTAAATTGATTTAAATATGTAATTGATTTAAATATGTAATTGATTTAAATATGCAAATATAATTGGTTGTCTAAATCCATATTTGTTATCTTATTTTGTAGAATCATGTCGTCTGAAGGACAAGGATCTACTAGACCGCCAACAACATCAAAACCGGGCGGTAAAGATCCATGTTGGCTATATGGGGAGAGAGTTGGTTCTGATACAAGTAAAGTTAAATGTAAATATTACACTCAAATTCTCAATGGCGGGATTAGCCGATTCAAACAACACCTAGCAGGAAAGAGGGGAAATTGTGCGCCGTGTGTGAAAGTACCCGATGATGTTAAGGCAAAAGTTTCTGAAATTTTAGATAATGCAAAGAAGAGTAGGGATGAGAAGGAGATGAAGATGCATAACTTGTTGAGTGAGGTGCATATTGGGGAGGATGAGGAGGAGGATAACTCCATCGCATTGAGTAATCAAAGAAGCTCGTCATCCTCCCACAAGGTAATTGGACAAATGGATTCCTTCGCCGCTCGTTCTCCCGAGGAGATTGCCCAAATAGTAGCAAAGGGGAAACAACCAACGATGGACTACAAACTTAAGAAGAAGAAAAGGGAGGATGTATTGCGATACGTCTCCAAATGGTTCTATGAAGCCGGCATTCCATTTCATACCGCCACGCTTCCCTCTTTCCATCAAATGCTACAAGCTATTGGCTTTTTTTGATGTGATCAAATGCTACAAGCTATTGGCTTGTTTGGAAGTCATTTGCAAGCTCCATCCATGTATGAACTGAGTGAGACATGTTTGCGAAAGGAAGTTGAAGAGATAAAAGAAATTGTTGAAAACTTTAAAAGAACTTGTGTTGTCAATGGTTGCTCGATAATGACCGATGCATGGAGTGATCGGAAGTCTAGAAGCATCATGAACATAGTTGTACATTCTGCTGGGAGAGCTTGTTTTTTATCTTCACATGATGCATCAGCCGATAATCACGATGCTAAGTATATCTTTGATTTTGTAGACAATGCTATTGATCAGATAGGGGAGGCAAATGTGATACAGATAGTCACTGATGGAGCTTCAAACAATATGGCGACTTCTAAGTTATTGCTTGAGAAGAGGCCAAATATATTTTGGACGACTTGTGCTGCACACACGGTGAACTCTTCTAAGTTATTGCTTGAGAAGAGGCCAAATATATTTTGGACGACTTGTGCTGCACACACGGTGAACTTGATGTTGTGTGATATAGCAAAGATAAAACCCATTCGTAATGCCATTTTAATGGGGAGGAGTGTATCAGTTTTCATATATAATCACACCAAGCCTCTTCAATTATTTAGGGAGTTCACTAAGGGTGATCTTGTGAGACCGAGAGTTACGAGATTTGCTACAGCATTCCTTTCTCTACAATCATTAAGAGATCATAAGAAAGAGATGAGGCAAATGTTTATCTCTGACAAATGGACAGATTGTAGCCTTTCAAGAACATCAGTGGGTAAAAAGGTATATTTTTAATTAAAATTTCAAATTGCATTTATTTTATTCATTTGATCATTTATATTTTATTGATTGGATTTATTTGTATGTTTGTAGGTTGCGGAGATTATTGCTAGCAACAAGTTTTGGGATAATATAGACTTTGCTCTCAAAGTATTCACTCCTCTAGTGAAGGTTCTTCGAAGAGCGGATGGTGATAAAATCGTCTTTCCCGATGACCATGCGACTTTCACAAAGATTGGAAATCAAATACCTAATTATCAAGAGCGCCTAGGGTCATTTGGGGATCAATTTGCGAGGCGAAGTGCTATTAAGGGTGATTGTCCGGGTAAATTTATGTTCTCATTCAAATTAATTCATTGACCTCTTTTTTGAATTTATAAGTTACTAATTTTTTTCAATTATGAATTGACTAATTACTTGGTGGAGGCTTTATGGAAACGATACTCCCGAGTTAAGGAAGATGGCAATGAAGATTTTGGGCTTGACAACTAGCTCTTCGGCTTGTGAAAGAAATTGGAGTACATTTGAGATGGTAATATTATTTCTTAAATTTTAATCATCTTGTATGCTTGTATTTGTAGTATTTGATGACTAGTTTTTTATGCTAATTCATGATTTTCTTTTGTAGATTCATACGAATAAGAGGAATAGACTAACTCATAAAAAACTTCATGATTTAGTCTTTGTCAAGTTCAATGCAAAGTTAAAGAATAAGCATGCCGTCCCAAATAGAGATCCTTTAACCGCCTACGATGATGAGGAAAGAGTCACTGAATGGTTGTTGGGTGAGGATGGGAATAATAGTGATGATAAAGTATTTCCGGGAGAGTGTTTAACTTTTAGGCAAGTTGGAGATATTTCGGGAGCTAATCCAAGGAAAAGAAAGAGTGGAAGGTTGCAAACGTATAAAAGAAAGAAGAAAGCGGGATCATCTTCATCGAAAGGAAAAGAGCCGATGGAAGATGATGAGGAAGAAGAGATGGATGCGTTCTTCACGGAGTCGGATGAGGATGCTAATGCTACTTTTGAGGATGATGATGATGATGGATTCTAGACTTTCTAGTTATCTTATCTTTTATGTTATTATGGATTTGCTCTTGAATGTTAAACAATTTTAAACTATTTGTAGCTTTAAAAACTTGTTTGTTTGTTTTGATTTGCTTATGTTTGATATGAATCTAGTGAGTTGTGATCTTCATTCTATATGTTATATCTTATATGTTACTTGCTTTATTCTTTACATGCTATTCTATGTTTACTAACAATGTTTTCTTATTTTGTAGGTCAAGCACCCAAATTGTTTCAGGATGCAATCGAGAATCAAATTTCTACAATCGGTTAGTGATCCTAAACATTATATATTGTTTACTTTTTTATATGTCTAGTCTATAAAATTTATAAAGTATGTTTATATTGAATTTAGGAATGCTTAGATTACATTTAGGACATGATATTATACATATACGGATCACCCGGTATGGCAATCCGATATTTAGTCCATGTCCCCCGATATATCCCCGATTTTCGCTATCTGACGTGGATTTCAGCCGTCCGACATGAACCCGACATCCGATATTTAAAACCTTGTTATAAATTGGAGGGTTCTTATAGAATTTAGCTCTCCTTTAATGTTAAGGTCAGAAATATCTCCTGCCTGAACACTAGCAGATATCATCTTGTTTAGGACATCAACAATCAACAAAAAGAGCAAAGGAGAGAGAGGATCACCTTGTTTGAGATCTCGATGGCAATTGAAATAGGCGGTGGGTGAACCATTTACAAGGGCTGCAGATTTAGCAGAAGAGAGGATATGGGATATCCAGAGGTACCATATGGGGCTGAACCCTCTGGCTTTAAGAAGGGAGAGAAGGAAGCCCCAATGATTACGGTCGACAGCTTTGTAAAAGTCCACTTTTATGGTACACAGTTATTTTTTGTCAGTGGAGCAGCGGTTGATCATCTCATGAGCCAGAAGGATGGAGTCAAGAGAAGATTTGCCACTTTGAAAAGCAGACTGAGATTTGTCTACCAAAGTTGGAATGAGAGGCTTGAGTCTGTTGGCTAGGATTTTGGTAAAGATCTTGACTGAACTATTGATCATACTAATAGGTCTGAATTCAGCTGAAGAGCTGACCTCTTCCTTCATAGGAATGAGACAGATAAAAGAGTAATTGATATTATGAAGTGGTTTTGCGTCCATCTCTAGTCCATGCGGCTGGACAGCTGGAGAGCTGGCCTCCTCCCGAGTTTTGTATATGGAATTTGCCTCCCGAGCACTCTTTGACGTAGTTAATCTTAAGTATTTATGCGTTGGTCACATGAATGAATGCTGATGCTAATGTGGCATATAAAATATTTTTATGGTCAAACATGAGCCCTTGAAGAATTCCATTAACCTAATGTAGTCTTTGAATGGTCACCTTCTGCCTTGTAGCTAAGAATCATTCAGCAATAAAACTACTCCTGAACTAATTCAAGCTAACGTGTCATGGAAAATATCAACTGCCAGGAAAATTTCAACTGCATCAACTTTGTATCCAAAGTATCATAATATTCAGATCGAATTGGATATGAACTTCAAAAAGAAGATTTAATTTGCTACAGGTAATGAGAAGGTATTATTTTACGAGCTCTTGTAAATTTGAAGACGCTCATTCAATGGGGGAATAGAAAACTTATCTATGATTTACAATTTTGCCTCAACTCCCCTTTGCATTGCAAAGAAAGCTGAGAAGCTGAGTTCTTCGGAGTATTAGTCTAAGCGCGCGCGCACACACCATTGAGTTAGGTGGTTTTTTATTTTTTATTTAATAATAAAACAAGGTAAGATGCTCTATTCAAAAAAATTTGAAGATTTTTTCCTCCGAGAATTGTATTGTTAAAAGATAACACCTATACAACTCTCAGGGGGGGAATCTTCAAAAAGACGTCAATGGGCAAAAGCTAAAAGATAGATCAGTCCCATTTTTTTTCCTTTTTCTTTTTTCCCTTCCTTTTCCAGTTATTCTCACTTCCTTTCCAAAAAAAAATAACGGAGGGTACTCCACAGCTCAGGCGCAAATTAAAAAAAATTTGCGTTTTTATTACAAAAAGAACCTCTATTGTTGTGACAACGAAGGAAATTCGAGGTACTTCTCCAAATATATACTTAAATAGAACAAAATATTTTTGAGAAAACTAGCGTGGACAGCCAGAACATTTTCGAGAAATACCAACCAGTCATTTGGCTTAATTCCAGAGTTTTTCTCGAAATTTGTACATACATAAAACTTTTATTTTAAAAAAAAGAAAAAAAAAGAGCATTATCCACAAAGAGCAGTTCTACTGAACCAATATCAATTTAGTTCCTCACAGAGAGATTTTAACTGAGGAAACAAATGGCAAGCATAAACATAATTACAAATCTTATTAAGAGTCACAATGAAGTGCATGGATGCAATCTCACATATAAAAAAAAATAAAGGCACCAATTCTTGTCTACATGAAAGAAAGAAAAAAGAAACCTATACATGCAACTGTGGTTCCAACAACAACAAAAAAATGTTTATGGGAGTTAGAACTGCAGCCTTCGAAGCTCATTGAAGATAATTGAGCTGTTATCTATCAATCAAACCACACTCTAAGCAAACACAATGAACATTCATCATGATCTAAATAAAAAGAATTCAAGACTTTGTTAGTTGATGTTCTTTGGAAGTTAAGAGAACTGTATCTTCAGCTGGAGCTCATTCAACTCCCTTTTCCAACATTTTCAATGTGGCTCGGTAAAGTTTCCAGAGAAAAAAAAGATACTTGTTGAGATTTTTGTGCATCTCAATTTGAAATATCGCGGAGTGTCTGATGAATCATGCCTCAAAAGAATGCCTCTAGAAGTTAAACTCAACATGTCCATTTGTGTCTGGCTGTTATTAAAAAAAACATACTGTAAGGCAACGGAAATCAAGTACCATACAAAATGAAAAATTGCACTCCCGCAATATGATTTTATCATGGGGGACCCTGTAATATCTCTTTTGCGACTAATTAGCCCTGTAGCTTGATTTTGGCAGATAACCCTCTGAGTGATTTTTTAAAACTCTTTTCAGGGAGAGAGAAACTTTTTTTTTGGTTGATAAAATAGACACCCTGCTGGTAAAAGAGTGAAAAAAGCTTTTCTTATTACAAGAAAGAACAGTCATCACATATGCAAACACTATAATTTGAATATGTTGGTAATTTCCTGAATTTTCCTCAAATCATGTAATTCAAATCTTCTTCGGGTGGTGGGAAGTTATACTAAAATGGTTCTCCTTGTTTCATAGACCATCTATGACTTAACCTTCATTGATTTCTAAACGAAACAAAATAATATTAATAAGAAGAAGAAGAATGCAAACTCTCCAACAGATTCCAGGTATGGTTTTAAAACAAGTTGAATATATCAAATGAAACCAGCTCGTTCAGCATTGATATGCATTCAAGTATTAAAATAAGCTCCGAATTTTCTTCAAGCATAGGCTTTTGAAGTTACAGAAGAGGTTGAGAGAGTTTTTGATTAACCAAAACTTATTATGGACACCCTCTGAGGTCTTCATTAGGTAGTATATTCTAGTATATGACCATTCATTAGGTAGTATATTCTCCTTATTCTCATTATTATAAAAGTTTTGTTTTGACTTTCCATATGAAGTCTTCAGCTTGTACAAGTGCACGTAATCATGCTCATGAGAAAGATCAGAGAGAGAATATTCTTCTGGATTTAACATAAGTTCATACGATAACTTAAAGATAACTTCTATACCCCTATCTATTAAATATAACTTCTATATTATCCTTTTCGAGTACGGTATGTAAAAAGTAAATATAGTAGTCTAAACTTTTTGCTATGCATTAATGCCATTAATGAGAATCTCTAATTGTTCATTTGGGTTTAGTATAATTTTGAATGTTCAAGTGAGATTTCTATGATTTATAAAGTTCAAGGTGTTTTATGGAAAATACACGAAATTTTAATCATGTAAGCATAATAGTTTGCATCACATATCGATGTTCGATAACAATCAACTTTAGTAAAATGGCAATCTACTTATTTCAAATGTGAGATTGACATGCAGCTATAATTATGAACAATGAAGTTGAAATTGGAATGTAAGCAATTCTTAGAAAACTAACCTGTCTTCCAAAAATGCTCTCAAGGTCGTAATTATCATCAGCAGCAGCAAACAGACTTTCTTGAGGAACAAACTCCACTTTCTCATGCTCAATTGCTGTTTGTGTCATCGAATAGACCTCCTTTGTCATGGCGCATGTGTTCCTAGGTACTCCCTCTTTCATAATACCATTTCCGTCTCGTTGAGCTGAGATTGAGAAACCATAATCTATACTACTAAGCTGAGTTCCAACTTGTTTGGACGACTCATAAGAAAGATTTAAGTTCTGCAACTTCCATTCTTGATTTTTGCTCTGATTAAAATCACTAAACATATCATAATTTGGGACAATATCCTTCACTTCTTTCAAGCTATTGATACTATCTATTTGTTCTACACCTCGTTGTGCTATTGTTATGGCTTCTTGTTTCATCCCTGTGAAAGTATTGGCAATTACACTGCTATTGACGGTGCCACTCACATGAGGATTTTGAACGTTAGAATATAATGCTCGAGGAACTGCATATGGAGGCATATTCATGTAATTGACTTGTAAAGGTGGCCTCCCATTTATTATAGCTCCACTTCTTACTAAGAAGTTATTAGAAACCCCATTAGAAACCATTTGTTGTCCCAAAGTTGATGAAATCTTAGAATCATGCTCAACAACAACTCTATTAAGAAATTGCCCCCTTGATGGTTGCTGAACACCGATTTGCATTTGTTCTTGATGCTGCGGTAAAGAAATTTGCTGTCTCTGTGGATTCATTTGTGCAACAAAAGAATTAGACGAGCCTGCACTAATGAGCCCACTAGAAAATGAGGAGCTAGTTCTTTCTGGAGATGGTAACTTCAACAACCCTTGAGCCCCTTCACTAACTTGGTGACCCGTATTTTGATATGCTCTATAAATTTGTTGTGCTTGTACCATTTGCCGTGAATCCATAGAAGCCGAAGGTCCATAAAGCAAACCCATTTGGTTATTATTCACTCGGTGCATCATTGCGGGCTGCATCTTTGAAGAATTTACAAATGGGGCATTGGAGTTAAAGAAACTTCTTGGTCCTGAATTTAGAGCCATTATTGCTAGAGGAGTAAGTTGACCTGAAGCAGCAAGTGCCTGCAAATCTACAACATCCAGTGAGGGAACTGAACTAAATGATGAATCCGAGGCACTTGAAAAAGCTGAGTCGGCTCTTCCTTGATGTTGTGGTCCACTTACTCTCTTCAAATATAGGCGGTATTTCTGCATTATGTTATCAAGTTTGTTAGGGAACTGTGTAACAAGTAGAAACACTAACAAAATGCTTAAGAACAGAAAAGAAGAGGAGAGAAGAGAGAGAGAGAAAAAAGGTCCATAGTAATGATTAAATATAAAAACAATCATAAATACTAAAAAGGTGATTAATGTCGCATCGTATATTTAGAGGTGAATGGACAGAGAATTGTGTAGTCCACCTGCAAAAGGTTTGGGATAACAGCTATATTGTTGTATTGTACTGCAAAGATGATAGGAGAAAAGCAGGAGACAAATAATTGATTAAAGTGTCAGAGAATTTGCCTATGTCATTGTTAGGACACAGGTAGAGTAATCATTTATGTAGTACTGCAAGATGTCTAGTGTTGCATAAGCATGTTAGGAGCCTCATGGTACGCAACTATGATGCAGATTCAGAGAATTTTCTTATGCCAGATTAGTGTACTGTAATTGGAACTTTAAGTTCCCTGAAAGAGGGACAAAAAAGAAACTTATAGGAGTTCGCCATGTATGATGAGATTGCATCTTAAAAAGCAATATTGTAGATCTGTGTCTATTTCTTGGGAGGACAAATAGAAAATAATAAAATGTTTCTCATTGAAACCTAAAAATTCAGAACAAAGGCGTATAATTTATTTAGGGTTAATTTCAGCGTACCATCAGACTTTGAGGGGCAAGTTGCAGACAACCCCCAGTGAGAAATTTAGTCGAATAAAAGGAAAAGTTCAAGGTAGTTATCTACACCACCCCCCAAAAGTTTCAAGGGGGTTTTCTCCAATTAAAATAGCTTATGGGGTTATCTGTAACACCCCCCAAAGTTCAGTAGGTTTTCTGAAATTCTCCCATTTATTTATTTATGGTCCTCAATCCTGTCTGAAGAATTTCCCCTGAAACAAATTCACTCCAGAGACCTTCATAAATGAAAAAAAAAAAACAGCAAGTTGATAAAGCAAAAAAATCTCCGAATCCAGCAGTAAGTGATAACCACATAATTAATTGTTAATGACAATAATCAAGAGTAATTCTAACTTCTAAGCACCAAGGTATTCAATAATTTCCACTAGCAGGCTCCATAGTTCTATATGAGTGCATCTTTCCAGCAGTATGTCCACTGCTCCAGAGATAAGTTAATTTACTAAGGGTTATTTGGCTATATACCCCCCAAATCTTTCATAATATCATATTTTTACCCCTCAAATCTTCATAATTGCCAATACATCCCCAAATCTTCCATAACTGCATATTTACCCACAAGTTGTCATAATGGCCAGTATACCCCTCAAATCTTGCATAATCACATATTTACCTCTCAAAAATTATGTAATCGGGACAGAGAGAAAGTAGAAAAAAATCAATTGACCAAAATAAGGAGTAAATATGAAATCAATCTAACCAGGAGTTTCAAAAAATGAAAAACAAATGCGCAGGGTTGGGGGCATGGCGGGCATCATGGGTTTTATTTTATTTATTTATTTAGGGGGATGCCGTTATGGAAGATTCGGGGGTATATTGGCAATTATGAATATTTTGGGGTTATATGTAATTATGGAAAAATTGGGGGGTATATTGGCAATTGAGAACATTTGGGGGGTAAATATGCAACTGTGTAAGATTTCGGGGGTATACAGCAATATAAACCCAATTTATTAAAAAGTAAATGGTTGGTTATTGATGTTGTTGTAGTTGGCTTTCATTATTCTTAGCAGATGACCTGGAGTGAGACCTCCAAAGTTATCAGTTCAGAAGTAAGATCCATTGGTTATATTAATCAGTAGCATAAACTACAGGAGTTTTACCTGAGCATCAAGTGCAAACAGGGTGTTCACTTTTGAGAGTTGAAAAGATTTAAGCTTGACAAACTACGCTTAAACTTGCTGAATTTTGTCACATGAGTATCTAAGGCAGGATGAATGATGTAATTTCTCCAAATAAATATTCACAATCAAGATCTAACCTGTTAGTTGTCCGCTAAATTCCATGTATTAGAAGTTACCAGAAAATGTTCAGTTCTGTATGATCGATTATGGGAAAATTTAAGTTGTTCCAAGGCATGTGATTGATATAATCTATAACAGATGCCATAACAAGAGTACTTCATGGACACAAATTGATATTATTAGCAACTCAACAGACATTTTTCTGCAATGTATATACGCAAAGTATACATGAAAATCATTTCAATCGCTAACAATCTGTGAGACGCTATGATGCAAAGTTATAGATACAACATAATATCATATGTGGATGTAAAAATAACAATCAAGACAAATAGAGCGGATCACTCATTAGAATAATCTAATCCATGCATCAAGAGGTGCATCCTTAGATTGAATCTAAGATGCCTCCCTACACATAAATTTTATGCATCAGTATACATAGCTTCCAGCCTTGAACCTACACTCAATAATACTTGCTATATTATGACGAAAACATACTGAGGCCTTGAACTAGGCTCATTAATTTATAAGAAATTAACAAGTACACATAAAATGCTTGCTCACTGGTTTACGGGTTGGCACCTTAATTTTGGCCATATGTTTAGTACTGACTCACAAGAATACATAGAAATTGCCCTACATTCAATAACCGCGACCACACGGAGATTCTCAAATAGGTGGACCCTCCAGGGATGTAAGAAACCAGAAGAATCCTGCAGGCCTATTGCTGAGTTTAAACCGAAAAGTGAAAACTAACCATTACTTCTAATTTCAAAGCTTTGCTAGACATAATGGGTAAACCAACTACATTTTTCTTCTCTTTTCTTTTGTGATCCCTTTAAACATCAACCCTTGTAGGAAAGAAGGGGTAAATATTTAAAAAAACGTTCACTTTGGACAATTATTAGAAAAAACTCACTAATTTTTAGATTTCATCAGAAACCCCTTTTAACTTTGAGATTTCATCAGAAAACTCAATTAGAGAAACCCCTCTAAATTAGGGGGGTTTCTGATAAAATCTCAAAGTTAAAGAGGGTTTTATGATAACCCCTAAACTTAAGAGGGTTTTCTGATATTTTGAAAGTTAAGGGAGGTTTTATGATATTTAGCCAGAAAAAATCTTCCTTCACATGTTTCTGAAATTTGATAGCAGAACAGAAAAACTTGTTTTACTAGTTGAAAAATCGCTCTCTGTGGGAATTCTCCTCACTCAAGCTAGTCTAGAGTTATGCATATACCTATATGCATTTATTTTTAAGACGTATGCATTGAAACTTTGGGATGGTGATAGAGATCAAAGATCAGCCAAACCTAGTATGCAAAGAAAACCACCATATACGAAAGTTGTCAGAGGGCAGAGCATCAGAATAAAGACAAACTTCAAGACAGATTAAGATCATATGGAAGAGAGGGAACAAGATGAATAATAGAGAAATTACAAAAGAAAAAAAAGAAAAGAAAGAGTACATGGTTTGGCGAAAACCATCCTGCATCCATAGGCTATGACCAATAAGTTTTTTTTAATGACTAGGATATACCACCATCCTACATTCATGGGCTACAACCAATCAGTGTGTTTTTCTAGGAGAAACCATCATCCACTTCCTAGCGTACCACTGAGAATTGTTCATGTCAAAATGAGTTTCAAAAAACAGTACCCAATTCGGTTGTCCTACCAAACAAATGAAGGCTGTGAAGCAAAGTTTGAAAATTTAAACTTTAATTGGATTGTTGGAAATCTGAATAACACCATGCAAAGAAAACATGGCTTAAAATGTTTCTTAGATTTTTTTCTATAATCCTCAAGAGCTGGTAGGTTTCTTAGTAACATGTCCAAATAAACCCATGTGTTAGATAAAATAATATTGGGTAATAAATAGCTGCTAATGGAGAACTAATAAGTTCATTGTTTGAATTAAATTAGGAAAGTAAACGGCTTTAATTTGTAGTTTATGGGAATAATTTTAGGCTGATTTTTGGGGGTGGAGATGATGGGGGGAAACCTATATATAGTGTTTTTCTTTATGAAAGAACACAGCAAAAGAAACAATACCCCTTACATCGAAGCCCCCAAAAAGCCCATCTTCTCTCCCTAGTTCTAATAAGGTTATGGCCAATATTTGATATAACTTCTTGGTGAAAGTAATCCAACTTAAGTTAGTGGTGATCAATAATGGCAGGTCAATAATCATCAACTCTTTAGACCAACACATGTTGGTATTTATGTATATATGTTGCGTGCTTTTTTAAAGATTGCAAGCTAACTACAACAACTTCAAGCTCCAAGTAAATGAATCTTACAGCTACAAGCTATTTGCAAAACAGAAAGGAATTTTTCCATGTGATAATAAAACAAGAAAATAACTATGGTTGAAGTATTGTCTAGCAAATAGAATGAGTAGCAACTGCAGTTATTAGTTAATATGTAGCTAGGGAATGAAAATGGATTAAATATGAAGCAGATATTGCTATACCTACAAATACAAGTCAAGTGCAAAAACTTGTATGAATAGTCGTATACTCAAAATGGATTGTGTTTCAGTAAGATCCATATTTGTTCAGCATTAAAATGGCTGACATGAAGATCTGCCATGATATGGTGAATTCTTGTAGCAATCACATAAGTAACGTGGGTAGTGCATATTACATCTAACCAACAGTAACTGTTGAAAAAAAATGCTGTTTTAAAAATGCATATAAAAACAGTAAAAGTGATAATGAGGGGTTTATTAGAAGTCAACCATACAAGAAACCATGATCATTTAAACTTGTGAACGATGAAGCAAAATACATGAATTTACTGAATGGAAGAAATAAAAACAAGCAAGTTTCTTGCATACATACCTGCAAATGGCTGGCAACATTCTCTCTAGTGAGTGCCGGGTTATTCATCAACTCAAGGATTTTCTTAGGAACAGCCTCTGCATATCCAAAAAAATTCTAATAAGAATCACAACCTTGAAACAAAACAAGTCATTTGAAAGTTAAGAACTCTTGTTTTCTCTAGAAATTTCTAATAAGTAGCCAGCTATTAATACATGAACAAAGTTCAGCTTATTTAAAAGTGGAAAAACAAAAAATTACAACGAAAATGCATAACATTGTTGAAAAGGAAGCAATCTTACTTTCAAGGCCCAGTTGGTTCACAGCTGCAACAAACTGTTGATGGAGATCAACAGACCAAACAACTCGCTGTTTCTTAAGACTAGACGCATCCTCTCTCTCCTCAAACTCATCTTCCTCCTCCCCTTCCTTTTTTCTCTTAACAACCTTCCAATTCTCCTCAATCCCTAAAGAGCCACTATCACCATTATCGGAATACTTCTTCTGCTTGTCACTATCATCCAAACTGCCGGAGTTCTCCAATTCCTTCGATTCATTCCTCCTCTTTCTAATAACATGTTGCCATATGTTCTTCAATGCTTCCATACTCACGGGCTTTAGTAAATAATCAACTGCTCCATGAGTTACACCCTTCAGCACTACATCCTTCCCATCATCAGCGGACATCACTGGTAAAACATCAACACTTAATAGCTTAAAAAAAACACAGAACTAAAATACTAAGCCTAAAATAGCATAAAAAGCCATGTTAAATTCGCTGCTTGCTAATAACAGCTTACTAATAACTGGGAGGTCCATTTCCAATCCGATATGCTCGAGGAGCTTGAACCCATCCATATCAGGCATATACACATCACTCAGCACAATATCAAACCCCCTTTTATTCTCTCTAAGAATACGCAACGCCTCGACCGCCCTCGAACAAGTAGTAACTGCCACAAGCAAAATTTCCAAGATTCGGCAACTACCCATTTCAGATTGAGCTCAAAAGGAAAAGTACAAGCCAGACCAAGAACGCTCAAATTAAATTGATCAACAAAATGAAATGGGTCAAATCAAATTTACCGCAATAATCGCATCTCTTGAGCATGTGCTCGACGATGCGGAGGCAGGTGGCATCATCGTCGACGACGAGGACCCGGAGGCCGGCGGGGAACCTGGCGTGGGGCCCACCACCGGCCGAGGGTTGGGAACTCATTTACGGGTGACAGGAGCTATACGCCTCACTTTATTCCATGTGTGCGCTTAGATTTTGGTGGTGGAGTGGTCCTTCGAGGCTAAAAAGAGCGAAAATTGATCAGAGATCTGTACTAAACAGAGGGAGAGGGGTCGCAGGAGGCAGTGGGATTGGGTTGGGATATGTTCTGTAGATCGCTCTCTTTACTCTCTCTCTCTCTCTCTCTCTTTCTCTTTCTCTCTCTAGATTTCTGTTGGAGATTACTTCTGAGATTTTCTAGCTCTCCCTCTCTCTCTCTCTCTCTCTCTCTCTTCTATTTCCGATATGAGAGGAGGAGAAGGCCAGCTCAGACTTCAACAGCACAACCGTGTTCTCCCTACTAATCTGGCAAATAGGCAACTTCTAATAACTAAAAGCAATTTGTTTTCGATTTTTTTTTTTTACATATTCCACCCCCTACAACTTTGCATTTAGATTCTCCTTCGTTCCAATTCTATCGTCTCTATTGTCGCTATGATTTAGTTAATTAAGTGACTAGTACCTTTATGTGACAAAATTACCATGGTCTTCTTTTGTGCTCCTTGTTAACTAGTGTGAACACCGTGCAAAGCACGATATATCTATTTTTCCCACTACATTAATCCCGATTTTAAATGTTACAATGTTTTTTAAATTTTTTTGAATTGCTACAGTATCCCGCTCTGTTACAATGATTTTTTAAAATTCTACATTGTTCTCGTATGCTGCAGTATTTTTTTTTCAAAAAAAGATACAATACCTTGTTTCCTGGTTGCTACAGTAATAACACTACAATAAATTGTACTGTAGTATTTACTGTAGCATGAATAGTGAATCTTAGGTTCTCCTATTTGATAGAGGAATATTTACTATTCATGCTACAGTAAATATTATAGTAGCATTTACTGTAACAAACATGAGACTTGACGCGATAGGTTTTTTTAAAAAAATATTGCTGTAACACACGGGAATACTGTAGCAGAAACAGGATAGCACAACAATTCAAAAATTCAAAAAATACTGTAGCAATTAAAACCGAGAAAAAAATATGCCGTGGTTAGTTTCTAGACTGATCAGAAAGGAGTTTATATGGTTGTACTTTTTTCATAAGATTTTAAGTTAATGCGACTTAAACATATGTTTTGGGATAGTATTACGAAGGACACTAGTGGTTATCGCATTGTTACAATTCGTAACCTCTTTGGTGCAAGCTCTTTATCAAGTGTGGACGGGACGTGAACCGTTGGGATTTTATTCAAATTTACTAGAAATATATTCAAAATTTTCTAAACATGATAGAGATGTTTTAGGAATTTATTTTTATTTTAACTATGATTTTCTTACCTAAAATTTTGAGGAACTTATAGTGTTACTCAACATCAAACTAGTGGATTGGATAAAATTTTGAAGCTTTCTTGTATTAATAGATTAATTGCATTCTTTTATCTAGAAATATGGTGTAATTACGTGCGTAACCTCGAAATATTCTATCTGCACGCTTAAATTTGCTATCAACATGGGTAATCATAAGATTAAGGGGCCGTTTGGTTCGTTTTTTAACTCGGTGGAAAAGTTTTACACCGCATCCACGTTAGATTTTTCGTGGTCATGTAGGATATAAGCTATCCATCGGGTTTTTTCCCATCTTTGGTTCGCTAGGGTTGAAGAAGGGAAACTCGGTGAAAATCGCCGCCACATCAGATTTTTTCTCTCTCCCCCAATTCCTTCCTCAACCTCGTGAAATCGACGAAAACTGCAGCCACGACGGCTTTTTGCCATATAAACAAAAGTTTTCCCTTTTTTTTCCATACGAACCAAACACAAGAAAAATAAATACATTGGTTTCCCACCATTTTTTTGTGCGAACCAAAGGGAAACAATCTATTTACACAAGAAAAATAAATACATTGGTTTCCCACCATTTTTTTGTGCGAACCAAAGGGAAACAATCTATTTCTTAGAAAAGTTTAGAAAACTCAAAACTTGTGTTTTTGTACATGGAAATGTATTTTCCTATATCTAGGAAACGAACCAAACAGCCCCTAAGAGAAATTCTAGTGCGATTGCGTACGCGTCTGAAGCTGACACTCGCCTTCCTATTGGTCCTCATAACCCCCAAGCTAAACCCAAACCTGACCCCATACCCGAACCTAGCCCCAAGCCTAACCCCATCCCAACCGTTAACTAATTTTAGACTAAGTGTAAACCGGTAATCGAGTTTCGCGACTATAACTGGCCTTTTTCTAAGACTAGATTTTATGCACGTGCAATGCACGTGGTTAAATATTGTGATTAGGTATTTTTGGTTTATTTTCTTACTAAAATTTGTTCATCGGTTACTCTTTGATAATTTTTCCATTAAGTATTTTTTGGTTTATTTTCTTACTAAAATTTATTCCTCGATTACACATTGATTATTTATTTATTTGATGTATGTTTGAATAGGCTACACCCAGTTTAAATTTTTATGTTGATCAGGAGATAAATATAATCTAAAACCAATTTACATTTTCATTTTATTTGGATCGGCATGAAACCGAGCTTGACCTGAGAAAGTAGTGTTATGAAAGTGAAAATACTTGAAAAAATAACATTATAAAAGGAAGATGAATAATAAAGCCAACGAACCAAGATGATTGATTTAAAGTGGGCTAAAATGACAGAAAATGTTTAATGAAAAAACCATAAATTAACATCATCAGCGATTCTATAATATTTATCATCTGGACACTTATTATTAACATCTCTATCTAGTTTCTTGTTGCAGCCTTTGCAAACGTAGAATCATTGCTCAAGTCTATTATAAATGGTAGTTATCGTTGCTTTAAATGTGCGATAGTATGTCTATATATTAGTAAATTATTCTTAGGTTTAATTGTATGAATTTTAGAGTAGGTTTTCTAAAATCATACATCTTTAAAATGCTATAATTGTTGTATATATTAGTAATTTGAATTTCTGTTGTATTTCTCTTGGCAGCTTACTCTAAAAGAGCATTACATATTAGCTTTAAAATGTAATAATTTTTTCTTTACGATGTTATATGGATGTTTGTTTGGTTTACTTACTATTCTCTTATTTCTTCAGTAAGTTGTATCTTTAGATTAATATATATTATTGACGTAATTTACGATGACATGCATATCTCCTCTATATATTTGAGACAAATATAAGGTGAATTTTATATTTAGTGGTCTTTAATAAGAATTTTAGTAATGAAATATACTACCTTTATATTTAGAGATCTTGAATTCTAATAGTGTTATTATGTCGTTATCTTTGATCATGTCTTTAAGAATTGATCATTCGTTAGTAGTCATACCCCTAAATAAAATCATACGCATGGTCGTGATACTATATAAGAAAACAAAAAAGGGCGATTTTATATTTACGCAGAGTCATGACATAGTAATTTATCTTTTATCTTCCATGAAGAATGTTTCTTTGATTGGAACAAAGTTGTTCAATATATTCTTCAAGGGGTATTCAATCAGTGTCTCTTTGATAAATATAACTTATGTTAGTGTTAATTGAAGTGATTCATGGACGTTTCGAATTCCATTTGAAATGAAAACCGCATGATTCTTTTGAAGGATATTTCTACATTTTCTAATAGTTCTCCATTATACATAAATCTTTATAATTATTTACCTTATAAATACTATTATCATTAGAGATCAATATTTATAATTATAATCAACTAATGTTAAGCTATTATATTATAGTCATTTATTAGTTTTTTGTGATTTTTTTATCTATCAATTAATGATACTTATATATTTTCGCTGCTCTAACATATTGGTAAAATTATATGCAGTTACTTTAATTTGTACAATAATATTAATTTTTAATCTATCATATATTTTATATTTTTATTCTTTAACTGGGTATTTTTAATATGTTATTATTATTATTTTTACCAGTATCAACTTGACTATTTTTAGATTTTGAAAAGGGATAGTAAACCTTAAATTATAAGTTATATTTATATATCTTAATGAAAGAATATCACACAATTACTCTTTTCTTTACCAAGTTCTAAAGTTTAGCTTTTTATTTAGTGTAAATTTAAACTTTTGAGAGTATTTTGTCTAATTTTTAAAACTTTTTGCTTTTTTTTTTGTAATACTTCATGTAATAAACTGATATTATGAAGCTGTTTCATATATTTTATTAATCTTATTTAAATTGTTGAGGTAGAGATAGTTCATGGGATATTAAGGATAGGATATAAGTATGATTAGGATAGATTATAATTTAAATTAAATATTTAAAATAGTACATGATAATTTTGACTATGGAAATCTTTTCTCGAACTCGTGCTTTTAAAAGGAGTATGATTTTTGTTTTTCTTAATTTTTTAATAATTTGGAGAATGACTTTTGTCTCTTTAATTTTTTTGGAGGATTTTGTAAATATCTCATTCACATTATGTAAATTTGTAGGTCTACGTTATTCCTAGGTTCGACCTTTGGGGTAGACATTATTTGTCTCATTAATTTATTTAGTTTTTGCATAAATGCCCTTCATTTTGTAGACATTTGTATTTAATAATTTTATTTAGATTTACATTTTAATTTAAACTATATCATTATCTTCATACAATACATATCCAATAAGGATTAATCAATTTATCAACTTACTCTTACTTAATGGAATAATATTTGAATTTCAATGGTATTTTTGTTTACCGAAAGATTTTTCCAAACTTGTGCTTTTAAAGAGAGTATGATTTTTAAAATTTTTTGCTTTTTTTAATACTTAATGTAATAAACTGATACTACAGAGCTATTTCATATATTTTATTAATCTTATTTAAATTGTTGAGCTATAAATAGTTCATGTGGTATTATGATAGGATATAAGTATGATTAGGAAAGATTATATTTAAATTAAATATTTAAAATAGTAACTATTCAATATCCTTATGAAAAATCGATCACATCAGAACGTTTTCGTGGTCGAATCCACTTCGAATTTGATAAATGTATTGCTTGTGAAAATTTTGACTATGGAAATCCTTTCTCGAACGCGTGCTTTTAAAGGGAAGTATGATTTTTGTTAATTTTGAGAATGACTTTTGTCTCTTTAATTTGTTTGGTGTATTTTGTAAACATCTCATCCATATTATGTACATTTGTAGGTCTACGTTGTTCCCGGGTTCGACCTTTGGGGTAGCCATTATTTATCTCATTAATTTATTTAGTTTTTGCATATACGCCCTTCATTCTGTAGACATTTGTAAATTTGATATTTCATAATTTTATTTAGATTTATATTTTATTTTAAACTGTATCTTTATCTTCATACTATGTATATCCAATAAGAATTCATCAAATTATCAACTTA